CCCCCCCCCCCCCCCATATCAAAATAAATTATCTATCGCAGCCTAAATCTGTCGCGACACCGTTCAATTGAAAACCCATTAATCATATGCCATTTTTCATTAGAATATAAAATACGTGTTTGCATTATTCAAGACAAAACAGAGGAGAAAAAAAGTATACATTCCCTTTCGTTACGCGTACCTGCTCGGAATAAATACGCGCATCGTACTATATATTTACTATGTACTACACAATTGCGACGACGACGAGCTATGGCCCGTTCAGAAAACATCAGTCTGCCCCTGGGGGGGAGGGGGGGGCGCAAAAACCCTACCACGGAGAAATTCTTACGTTACTTACCATTACTTACCACTATTACATCAGCAATTAACAATTTATCTTTGATATTATTATAAGAGTTTAATCAACTTTTATCAATTTTTCAATGGAAAAATTGTCTAATTTCTAGTGTTTTATCTGTCGGTGGAGACAATTAACGAGTATAACCAAACCAAGTGTTCCCCACCGGCCCCTCTACTGCCTCTACGCACTGTCTTGCCCCGGTTTTTCGTGAAGGGCATGGGCGTGCATGTGTCGTCGCTCAGTTCTGTGAGAATTCTAATGGCAGATTGCGGTTGAGGTGTACGTGAGGTGAGATAATTTTCATAGTTTTGCACGGTGATTTCACGATTGAGACTATACTCTGTATAGGTATTGAATTATTATTTTCCGTAATTGTGAAATGATTGTTGGTGGTTGGAGGAAGAGAAGAACATTTGCAAATTTACAAGAGGGTTGAATAAGAGGGATGGTGAGGAGGGGAAATGGAGAATCTGAGGGTGGTTATATTGTGAAAGCGGAAGGTTTATGGGTTTTATGGGCAATCAGAAGAAGATTGATGACGATGCGTATTGATGACGATGATGATGATAATAATAATAATGAGTATTTTTGGTGATTGAATTTTGGAATTATCATTAGTGGAGTTTAAGTATAATGTAGTGGAATGATAGATTACCATTGGCAATTGAATTTTTGAATCAACATATTTGGGGCATTTGTTGAAATATCTCTCTATTAAAAAATTGTTATTGGAATATATTTTTTTTCATATTTGTATGGATTTTTTTGCAGGATTGTTTAGTAAAGGGAGCAATTATATAAAAGGAATAGTTGACAGTAATCATGATGATTTATGCTACTGCGGATGATGCTGTTGTATTCATTGACGACTATTTGGCATTGTTTCTCCAAAATAGTCATGCACAAGTGAGTAATTGTGATATGGTAATAGTGAGAGGATTTGATGCATTTGTGACTGTTTGTTGACATTGACAATGATGACGAGGAATAGGGAAGAGTGGAGTTGGTGCTAATGACGTGCATTAGAGGTTTTTAGATGATAATGTAGAACATCCAGAGACTATTGATAATCTATTGAGAAGATTCAACTCTTCGAATCGAGGATAAATATCGATATTGAGGAATTTGGTGTGAACAATGGATTCTCCACCTTCGTGTTCACTTAGTGCCACTGGACCTCTCAGTGATATTGGCAGCAGTGGACTTGGTGGATCTATATCCAGTGATTCTGTCAGAGCACAACTTGCTATTGAGGTAAAATTTGGATGAGTGATGAAAAAAATTAAAATATCGTTTTTTTTTTCTTTTTCTCTCTAGATGGATGTCTAGATCCACTAATTGTGCCATAATAATTTGGTATTTTGATAGAAATGAAAAGAAAAAAAAGGGTAAAAAAAATTGACTCAATTAATTTCAATAGATGCAGGAGAGTGACATCGAGTCAAAGTCTCTCTCCCAAGACTCGTTCGACTACTCGGACGGTATGTGCCACCAGAATTTCAATACCCTAAAAAAAGGTCCAGGCTGGGCAGACCTGGATCCGAAGCTCTCAGTGGAAGACGTGGCAATAAAGCCCCCCCCAGAGTTCCAAGACAGTCCCTCTCCCCCAGACTCAATCAGGGGGATATCAAATGCCCCATTGATACTGCATTACCGTTTGCGAAAAGTGAAAATTCCCTCGTGGATTGACGAGTTGGCAGATTCCCTCATCCATCAGATGATCTCCGAAGCTCTTGCTCTGGCTTGTCGTGTCTCGTGGCCAGAAAGTCAGCTAAGTCACCTCAGTCTCAGTCTCAGTGTCTCTCAGTCTCGCCCTGACAGGCAGCGGCTGTCTGTCAGTTGTCAGGCTCATCAGCCCCCGAAACAGCGCTTCTGGGCATCTGAAATGCTACCCTCCTCCTCGTCACGCCAGGCTAGTCACACAGCTACAATAACAATCACCCCCTACAATACCTTAAACCGTCCCAACTCGAGATGTTCCCTAGCCTCCTCTCGTCTCTCCTCTTCCCACAACTCAATAAATACCTCGGGCCTCTGCAAAGCCGACGACAGTAGTTTCATCACCTCAGCAATGTCTCACGACGTTTTGACAACCTCCGAGATAAGTGACATGTACAATGTTCCATTTGATTCGGACATCTACACTGTTCCCATTGACGTTATTCGCCCTCTTCATGAGCTTCGTACCCCTCAGCGTCCAAAACGCCACCGTCATCACCGAAAACGCCGAAGAAATGTCTCAGCAAGCTCTCAGAGTGAACTTGAGGCTCACATTCAACAGGCGAGACACTACTGTGGAAAACCACGTGCCATAACTCATGTCATCAAGTCTCAGAGACTCTTGGCTGAGGTCTGCTGTAGCGACACTGGAAATGGAAAACGTCACAGTGTTCCAGGTACATCAGGACGTCATCGTGCCCCCAGTCATCAGCACAACAATATCGGAGAACCTATTCACATGACCCTGCACGAGGTGAGACAGTACCTGGAGACGCTGTACTCAAGCTCCAGTGACTCTAGTGAAAATAAAATCAAGAGAGATAAATTACCCAGTCAGACGCCTATTCATCTTGGCATATCAAAGGGTCTTACTGTAAATAATAACAACAATAATAATAATAATCATAATAATAACAATAATAATAATAATAATAACAATAATAATAACAACAATAATAATAATAATAATAATAGGTACAGTAATCCGCATACGGATTCTTCCACTGATACTCCACTATCTAATAAAAGCACCAATGGACTGATTAACAATAATAATAACAATGGAAATGGTAGAAAGCATAAGAAATGTGGATTGGTAAATAAATATAAAAAGAAAGAGGAGGGAAAGGAGGGGGGTGGCAAGGGTGGCGAAGTGGAGAGAGAGAAGATGAAGAAGAGTCAAAGGAACTTTTCGTTGAACTTGAAGCAGACATTGTGCAATATATTTAGATTTAGGAGGCTTGGCTCGCCGGAGAATTTTGCTGATAAAAGGAATAGTATTGTACAGGGTGACATTGTAGAGGAGGAGGAGCAGGAGCAGGAGCACGAGCACGAGAGGGGGGAGAATGACGGCCTCGGTATTGCTATTAATAATAATAATAGTGGTGGGGAGGTGGGGGAAGTGAAGTTGCCATTTTTTAAGAGGGCTTTGCCACCGCTTCCCAGGAGTAATGGAGGTGTCGGACATGTGGAGCAGGGGGAGGATGCATTGACGTCCATTGGAATCGAAAAGGGGGATTCACCGGCTTCGGTGCAACAGATTAACAGCCCTGGAAGGGAGGGAGGAGAAGTGCTGCCGCCAGAAGATACGAGCATGGACTTTGCCGCAAGCATTGAGAAGGTCAAGGATGTGAGTAGAAAGTCAAGGGTAGAAGGGTAGGCTCAATTTTAATGAGCGTTAATGGTTTTTTTTTTTTTTTTTTTTTTTTTTTTTTTTTTTTTTTTTTTTTTTTTTTTTTTTTTTTTTTTTTTTTTTTTTTTTTTTTTTTTTTTTTTTTTTTTTTTTTTTTTTTTTTTTTTTTTTTTTTTTTTTTCATAATTGCAGTATGGTTGGTATTGGGGGCCAATGTCCGGTGAGGCTGCCGAGAAGATCCTGTCGAATGAGCCCGATGGATCATTCATCGTGAGGGATAGCAGTGATGATCATTATATATTTTCATTATCCTTCAGGTTGAATAGCTGTGTAAGACATGTGAGGATAGAACACGATCAAGGTGAGAATTTCATTGATTTTTTTTTTTCTTTTTCCGAAAATTGAAATTGTGAAATTATCTCGATAACGAGTGATTCTTGAAGAAAAATATCAAGACATTTTTTTTTTTCGTTACTCCTATTACTATTACCTTATACTATTAATAGAGCAAAAAAAAAACAGTCTCTTGATGGATTTTCCTCACAAGCCAAAAGCTGCTCGTTCTATCACGATTATTTCAGTTAACTCATGGTTATTAATGAAAAATTTCTCGAAAAACGGGAAAGAAATGAATGAATAATTAAAATAGAAATGATTCAATCCAATTCCATTTGCATACAGGTAACTTCAGTTTTGGCAGTTGCACAAAATTCAAATCTCACACGATAGTAGATTTCATTGAGAATGCAGTGGAGCACTCACGAAGTGGTCGCTATTTATTTTTTCTTCATCGTCGTCCTGTATTGGGTCCCATGAGAGTTCAATTGCTTCATCCAGTATCAAGATTCAAACAAGTCCAGTCACTTCAACACACCTGTCGTTTCGTCATTCTAAAAATGGTTCGCAGAGACCTAATTCCCACCCTACCACTACCACGTAGACTTATCGACTACTTAAGTACACCCCATTACTACAGCGAACAATTGGCTGAGCAGGATGATCGAGCTGAATCACCAGTTAGTTCGTCCACTGGTGAATTAGAGAAGATTTGTTTTACACCCCAGGGCGGCCTATCGTGAGAGGTATTTATCATGTCACACAATTTGTCTCATTACTCTTACATTTTTCATTTTTCTTCATGTAGAGCTGAAAAACAAGAAATGAATTATCAAAGAATTTTCTCACTTTTTATACAAATAATTTGTCATTGACATTCATTTAAAAAAAAAACAAAAAAATGACATATTCATCTTTCCATTTATACTTTCAGTTTCCTCGCAAGGCAATTATTTCATATGAATCAGTGTTCCTGCGATTGCACATTGAAATGCAGCTGCATAAATTTCACTAGTTTGAAAGTAAAAGAAACAAAATTATTACTAATATTAGTAATAAATTTACATCATTCATATTGACCACATTCTTCATAGTATCAACCAGTTGACAAGTGATTAAACAAGTGTAAAGATGGGACTCATGTATATGTATATGCGCGATCGACCAAAGTAAAATTGCTGAAAATTTAGGAAAAACCAAAAATTAACAGATGGAGAAAAGTGAAAATATTACCAAGTGTCATTGATTGACGTTTGTTACATCTTTTACTTTTTTAACAATTTTTTACTTTGAATGAAAATGTCAGACAAACGATGAATGCGAATGCGAGACAACGTTGATACACCTATAATTGCCTAAAAATTGCAAATAAGCTACATGAGTCGCGCTTCATGGTGTGATTATTCAAATTAATGAACTTATATCGTGACTGTGATGCTTGTTCATCAAGCCAAGCACAATTTTCAAGTTGATGAAGCCAACGTTTCATTCAATTGTTTCATGACTTTATTATTTTTTAATTTATTATTGTTTTATTATTATCTCGATAATCAGTGAGTTTATAAGGGAATGTAAGCAGACATTTTCTTCCGAGAATTCAATTCTCTACAAAATAAAAAGAGCTATCGATATTTGTCAATTAATTGAGTCATTCTTGAGATAATTGAACAATTACCGAACATTGATTTTTTTCCTCATTGCGATTACTATCTTCAATCCATAAGTCACCGTGAATTATTATTATTACCATTATCATTATTTTCGATAACCAATCGAAAATAGACATGTTATAAATTCAATAAAAATCAGTGCAAAAAAAGTGGTGAAATGTAATGTAACTTAATCTTTTTATCAATAATCGATTTTCATTTTTGTGATAAATGAAACATGTTTTTGTTACTCTCCTCTATTCCAAGGCAATTTAACAATACCAGAATAAATTAATCAAACTAGTTAAATCAACTTTTCATTGAAAATTTCTTTTCTAGGATCAAAGATATTTACAAAAAACCGATGGCTACTTGGTGGGAAAAAAAAAAAAAAATGAATATGTAATCTTTACGTTTCACCACTTAGTAATAGCTGAATTGAACGATAATGACCCACTGTCAACTTTAATTGGAATTATAAAATGTTTATCAATATATATATATATATATATATATATATAATGTTGTTAATTGTTGCAATGAGAGGAACATGCTAGTCATTAACAATAGAATTTAAGATTGGGCCTCGAACTGACTCGATCAAGGATACCAGGGTTATGTAGTAGAGAATGAAAATAAGAATACGAAATGTTCCAAGCTCATATGCAAGTTCATGAATATAGGCTATTAATTATTAATTATTATCATGTGGAAATGACTTTTTGTACAGTAGAATTTTTCAAGCTATTGGATAGAAAGAAAGGAAAGATTATAAGTAATTAATTATTACGTAAGTAGTGAATTTACTCCCCTTTGTATTTTTATTACTGATAAGTGTGGGGTTATTAATTGGTTCGAGGCCCCTGTCTTAACTCTATAACATGACATGTTATAGGGGATTTTTTTTTTCAACCGAAAGTTTCCCAATGACGATGAAATTTCATATGAGATGATAATTGTTGTTCTACAACAGAATGATCTATAAATAGATATTGGGATAATGCTCATAGAAATTCAGTTTCTTTTTCTGTCAAGTTTTTCCCAAAACCTTAAATTCCTCCTTAAAAAATAGCCGAAACATTGTATGGTTTTTAAATACAGAGCGTTTTCCTACAGAGAGTAACAATTCCCATAGAATATCCGGGGCAATAATCACCTTTTGTAGCATTGATCATTACAAAAATTTCCTTCCATCTTCTCATGGGATTAAATCATAAAAATTTCCCATTTGAAAATCTCTAAAAGAGTCCTACTGGACATGTCAATAGAATTGTTTCATATGTGATAATTCTCTTCAGTATTGTCTTCAGTTTACAGGTAGGGGAAATAGATCGTATCTATTAACTACTGTGTAAAAAATAATAATGAATAATTCTTTGATACAAATAATCTCTTTGAATTTACGTGTAATTCACATTATGTTATGCAGACAATTTGTACCATTAAAACATTTTTGTGTTCATTGAAACGAATACTTTCATTCATTATTTTATCAATTGGAATTATTTTCCATGCGAGAGAATAATTGCAGTCGATCATGTTGCAAGAAGATAGTCCCAATCGATACATATATCCCTAGTTTACAAAAAAAAAAAATTGAACAGAAAAACAATTTCATCACCAAGTTCGATTCGCTAATTGAGGGTGATTACAGTGAATTGAGATAAATTAATGAGCGATATGAGAAGCACTCACGTGATTTTCCTACTAGAACATAGTTGGAACATAGATGGTTTGTATATTTTCAAAAAAGATAACTCTTGACATTTTCACTCTGACAAAGCATTTGTTTTCAATATATTTGCATCATTAAAAAAAAACTGGAATCATTTGGGTTACCTGAAGCGAAATCAGATTAAAGTGTTAACCATGGAATTATCTCATCAACGAGGAAAACTTTCGTTAGCTACAAGAAAAGTTACTTTACAGCCGAGATTATTTCATAATTAACAACGACGTTTCACCACTTTAATGAGAAATGATTATATACAATTAGCATTCACTCAATTAATGAGTGAGAGAGAGAGAGAGAGAGAGAGAGAAAAAAAAAACAAACAATTAAATTCAGGATCATGATACTGACGGAATTTCGATAATCTACACAGCACTAATATGTACAGAATTATTATATAGTAAAAAAGCCACGGAATAGAGGGATGAGAATGACAAGGAAAATTGTAACCATACACTATTGAAAGCATAAATCATTTTGAATTTTTTTTCAGATCGAGTAACATGCTTCTGTGTATAAAAATCAATGCAGTATAAGAACAAATTGAATGATTTTTTTTTTTTTTTGCAAAAGTTGAGGGTTTATTTTACAAATGTATGGACAAATAATGAGTTTGGCAGATCTTTTGTCATTTTTTCCTGAGTTTATTACTTACAGAGATAATTGTAATATATTATATCTGATGGATTGTTTTTGTGTCAGTTTATAAAAACAAAAGTCAATACATTTCCCCATTGACTTTTACCACTGGACTTTATAAACTTGCAATTAAAATGTATACAATGCACAACAGCTGTGACAGATTCATAATTTCATTTCCATCAATAATGTACGATAAACTATAAAAATTATACAAAGTAAAAAAGAAAAATAGTAATTAATCGTAAATAAAAGGTATACATTTCCATCCAGAACTAAACTATGCTGCGATGAAAGAGACAACAACAAAAATGAAACAACAGTATGGCTAGACAATGAAAATGTCAAATAAATAAGTAAGTAAATAGTCTAGTAAATAAATATAATAAAGGGAGATGGTGAAAGACAAGTATGTAAAATCGCCTCTTATAATTCATTGATTTGATTGTATTGACGAAGGTATGAGTAATGTAAGTTTAATATATGCGCATGTAGCTGACTAACAACGTTTGTACTGCAATGTTGACAATGAAATAAATTTTTGAGACCAAACGATAAACAAGAAAAATATAACATCAGTAATGAGGGACATGACGTTGTTCTCGTAGAGAATTTTCACAACAATGCAAAGGATTTATACATCAAATATTTCCTATCTTTCTCTCATTCAAGTTATATAGTTTTGAAGGAAAACCGCTCAATGTACCACGTGATTGCAAACCGGAAGCGCATGTTAGCTGCTCATCTGATTTTTGGTGGATTCACAACTGACGGTATAAATGACCTACCTATTATTATACCTGATACTAGAATACTAGTACTTGTGCCCATACTTCCAACCTCCGAGGGATAAAATCACACAGCGTTGATGACGCTTTGACGCTTGATGCGGTATTTTTTCAAGTTCTATTATTAATCTCTATCATATGTTAGAGAATATAACATTTTCTAAATCGAGGTAAGTAATTGAAAAAAATATAGTATATTATTGTTAGATATTAAATATGTGAAATTGTCAATAATTTATTTATAATAATTTCAGTAGAGCTGTAGAACTTGAAGGATGATTATCGTAGAAATGATCAACTGCGAGAATTGATAAAATTTTCAAAAATAAAAAAACTAGCAACTAATGGAATAATGGAAATGGATATGCAGGCGATTGCTAATATTTTCAGTATCATCACTATCTTTGTCTGTTTTATTCTGAAAATTCCACAGATATGGTATCTCATGGCTATCAAGTCAGCCGTTGGAATTCCACTGTTGGGTCTCATGCTGGAGCTCACGAGGTGAAGCAAAGCCTTTGTTTTTCCATTATTTTCTTAATTATCATTATCTCGAGCTAGAAAATATGGAATACCGATCAACTTTTCATTACACAGTTACACTGTAATGACGAGCTACAATTACACAAATGGTTACGCACTGCTGACGTATTTGGAGTACCCAGTAATCCTCGCTCAAGAATTTCTTCTTATTTATCTAGTCTTGAAATATCGTAATCAAGTCAATAATATTAAATCAATCTTCTTCGCTATTTGCTACTTCGTTCTGAGTACCTGTATACTAATTCAAGTCGTTCCAAAATATGTTCTGACCATTTTAGCGGTAAGTTTTACGTTTTGCTCAATTTTTTATAATAAATTTAAGGATTTAAACTACCGAAATTCGTCGGTCTTCATGGTTCATATATTTTCCAACTAGCCCATGTGTACACCTATTTCTGCGTCTAGTAAACTTGTCCAACTTCTTGCCATTGTTCGTGCCAAAAATGCTGACTCTGTGTCGTTATTGACTTGGTTTATATCTGCATTTACCAATACAAGTACGCCAACCGTTATTTTTATTTACAAACAACTTCATTACTTTAAATGTTTATATATGTATTAAAATGTTTCATTTCTTCTTATTTATATTTTCAGCAAGGATATTTACAATTTGGGTTGATTCCGGTGACATTCTACTCTTAGGCAACTGTATTATATCAAGTTTACTGAGTTCTAGTATAATGTTTTCAGCTTTATACTACAAGTCCCGGTCAAAGAGGGACGATGGCAAATATGTGAAGAGAGAGTAGTGCCTCTATTCAAGTTTAGTTAATTAAATAAACTTATTGAATAAAAATAGAAAAAATAAATAAAAAAATACTGAATGTTTGATAATCCTCCCGCTTCACCGCTTCACTCTCAAAATGGTATTTATAAAATACACCTATCGATTCAAGTTTTCGCACATGCGCACATGCGCACATGCGTGCACACAACTTGCAATCCATCAGCTAATATTATATATATATACATATATAGTGAGGGAGGCAGATATATCATATCTTATAAACATCTGAATACGAATAAGCAGATAACTGTAATAAACACACGGAGAATATGTATGTACATTCATACAGTGTTCAATTGAACTTGGCCTTTCCTCCGAGAGAGTTTAGTAGCAGTAATCTTAGCTGAAATTGTAGCAACTGGAAGTACCTATGTAAATGAATAGCTCCTTTAATAGTTATCTAAAAACAGCGTGGTTCTAGAAAATTTATTATAAACCAGATAAAGATAACCGAAAGATGATCGTTGGACAATTGTGCTCCTCTTGGAGAAAGTGCTGCGAAGTTAATTGTATAACAACCTTCAAATAAACAGAGAAATGTAGGCTAGATGATTATTTTCCTCGTCAAAGTTGTCATGACATGAACAAGTTATTTTCACCATTGAAAAATTAGGATTATTGTCATGGCGGGCTCGGCGTTGAGACGTCTTATGGCTGAGTATAAACGTAAGAAATGGAATTAAAATTGTCTTAATACACTCGACACTGTGTTAGCATTGTTACTCCATATGTTTATATTCGATCATTTCTTGGTATAAATGGGCAAGATTGATATTATGACTTGAATTTTCAGAATTAACCTTAAATCCACCGGAGGGCATTGTTGCAGGGCCAATTAATGAAGAGAATTTTTTCGAGTGGGAAGCACTCATTACGTATGTACCTAACGTTAATTAGCATTTCGATGTTACGAGATCTTGAATGAAATTGTCAAAAGATGTCTTTTGTGGAGAATTTTCTCAATTTCAAATCAGTCATTGTTCTTAATTGCTAAATGACTCAACAATTAACACATATTTAATTAAATGACATGGGAAATGGCAATAAAAATAACATATATTTAATGAAAATTTTGTCACTAATGGAACAATATCTGATGAACATTTTATTATTTACAATCCATCATCATTTATCAAAAATTTAACTAAATTGATTTTTTTTTCTCCAGAGGACCAGAAGGAACATGTTTCGAGGGTGGTGTATTCCCAGCAAAGTTGATATTTCCCCCAGATTACCCCTTGAGTCCTCCAAAAATGCAGTTCACTTGCGAAATGTTCCATCCCAATAGTAAGAGAAGGAATTACCATTATTACTATTTTTATTCATTCATTTAAACATGTGAATTCGATGAATGAGAATAAGGAAAATTGAGGAAAATTATTGTTTGTCAAAATGTAGTTTACGCCGATGGTCGAGTATGCATCAGCATTTTGCATGCCCCGGGTGATGACCCCATGGGCTACGAGAGTAGTGCAGAGAGGTGGAGTCCAGTTCAGAGTGTGGAAAAAATTCTGCTCAGTGTCGTGAGCATGCTAGCTGAGCCCAATGACGAGAGTGGTGCCAACGTGGATGCAGCCAAGATGTGGCGAGAGGACAGAGCTGAGTTTGAAAAAATAGCTCAGAAATTGGTGCGCAAGACACTCGGCATTCCGACATAAATTTTATACCAACCAAGATATATTATATATATATATTCAATATTATAAATTATATTTTTTTTTCTTCGCAAAACTGATCATAAGATTTCAATTTATTTTTTTCTCTTATTCCATCTTCTGTATTGAATCTACCTGGTTAATAATGAATAAAAATTAATTCTGCAGATTTTTGATTTTTGTGCAATTTTAAGGCAGCATGAAAAATTATCTTGAGAATAAGTGGTTTGCCAAATGATTCTTATCTTTGTGATGAATTAAAATATACAATGAGCTTTATTTTTCCTTGTTCTATGAAATTATTTCCAAATTAAGTGGAAATATGGAAGAAATATCATTTACAAAACAAATAATTTATTCATGAAAATAATAATATAATTATTCTTGTATAATTATGATTCATTGCCAGAAGATCAATCAACAACTTAATTTTAGTATACTATATTATTAAATTCTTCATTGACTTTTATGAAAATGATGAATGATCAAGTAATTAATTGTTTGATTCAACGAAATAATTACAGCGAGTTAAGGAAACGTCGACGGACATTTTTTTTAAAACTTGTTCACCTTTCTCCTTTGGCATTCTTAATACCACTTAACAGACGTGATACGTGATACAATCGGGTTAACATTCTTGTACTCGTAGATTGTCCTTTCATGCTTTACATTGACAATTTAGCATCTGCATGTAGATACTCATAGAATGCTAACAGAATCATCGCTAAAACGACAATATAATCTGAAGATAATATATACGTACAACATTGATAGAATTTATCTCTTGTTATCATGTTAAAATAGGTTTTTATTATATTCTCTTGTTTGTCAATGTCTTGCAAATTGCTTTATTTTCAAAGTAATGATGATTATTAATTGTCTTCCATATTGAAGGGGTGGAAAAATAATGAGTTGATTGAGTCAAGGAATTCAAGGAAAATAAAATATCGGGAGAGCTTTTTCGTCTCTAAACGATGAGATGCTCAACAAAAAGTGTCATCTTACATTTTTCTCTAAATTCACTCATCATTCTTCAGATAATTAACAGAACGTAATGAGGAAACATGTCACATTCTTCATATACATTTTTATCCACTTCAATGTAGATTTGTGTGTAGAAATACCACAACTAAATACCAGGAGAAGAAATTTTCCCCACCAATCACTAAAAACCATCTCCATTAATCTAACATTACATTATTATTATGTATAGACATTAATTTATTTCATTTTTTTTGTTTTGTTTTTCATTTTCTAATTACAATCCATAGTGGATTAGCTAAAATATATGTATATTAATATATCTGTATATGTCTTTGGCCAGCACGACATCACACACTTTTGTTGTAAAGCTCCTTTTGTTATTTCAGTACATAATTAAGGGAAATATGATAGCATCTCATCTGTTAGATGGTAGAGAGTACATGCAAGTATTTGAAGCGTCTCTTTATTTTATAATATTAAAAATACCTTTCCCATCAACTTATGCGCTCACACAAAGCATATATCATGACCTTCCGAAAATTTTTATGGAATACATAAAAACTGATAGTCATTTACAATTATTGAAATTAAAAAAAACAATGGGGTTGGATGCGTATTCCTTGAATATTTTGAAAACTATGGATTGTGAATAATTTTGAAAAAAAATGGAAAAGTTGAGTTACCACAGGTTTAATGTCCGAATTGGTATTTTTAATTCTATGATAAATCATATGATAAATTCATTGGATGTTTGAATAAATTGAATGGTTTCTGTAACATTTCAAATTATATAGGTATATACATGAATTAAACGCTCAATTCCAATGTTCTATTTTCTTTTCCTTCACAAAATTTGGATTAATTATAATAAAATACAACAAATTGAAATTCAATCCTTCAAATGTTGTAGGAGGAAAGCAAACATGGCGATCAATAAGTCTCCATATTCATAGTTTATTTGTATGTACATTGGACAATGCACAGGATACAAGTCTTTATTTTCTTTGTTCTCTATTATTTTCCTCCCCATTACGTATATCGTCTCGATATATTTATTTATTTGGTCAAAATAGAGATTCTCATCAACGATGAACTGTCTAATTCCTCCGATTAACTATTTTTCCATTTCTTTACTTTTAGTGGTTTAGTGGTTTCTTTGAAGTTGACATGATTAAAATTTTGGTAAATTTCATATGCAATGAATGAGACAAATAGTCGCACGAATAATCGCATGGAGGAGTTAAACGTAATGAGTCAAACGTGACTTTAATTTCAAGACGTAATATTTTTTAATTTGAGAGACATGGAAAATTTCGCGTCTTTTTTTTGTAGAGATGTTTTTTTTCGCTGCGAAGAAGGTCTGACAAAAATTTCAAAAATATTTTTCAAAAATTGATTGAAAAAAAAAAAAAAATTAAGGCAATTCATCTCCCTCCACTACTTCATTACCAAAACCCATTATTTTCCATTCTATAATTAATATTGATGATATTTTGATGCATGCAGAACTGGAAGTGGATAAAGACGTCACGATACTATGGACGATTGACATTAGTTTATACAATAACGTTTTCATTAAAATTGTTGATAAGTGTATACCTTGTAAAATGAGCACAGCTCGTATAGACAAACGAGTGCATCTCCAATTCCACCTCTTACGCATAGAAAATGAAAAGCCTATAGACATGTTCTATAAAAGGAATTGTTCTAGAGACATTTTCCCTATAACAAATACAGACAATTTCTATAATCAGTGTCAAAATATTTATAATATTTTGAGATATGGTTTTAGATGAAAAGGGAGCCAAGTAGAGAAGGTGACTTGCAAATCACGAGACTTCTGACCGGATAATATGAATATGAATATAAATATGAATATGAATATTAGTAATTTCTCATAATTTTGCCACTTGGCATTTTTCGGCTATTTCTCTCATTCCTGCAGATATTAATGAAGCTAGTGATGCGGCTCTTCGTCTTTGGTGTTCTGGGATGGTGTGGCTGGGGTTGGATCGTCGTGAAACATTGGATTCTTCACTTCAACCTCGCCTGCCTTGAGACAAATGAGATCATCCAGGTCAGGGTGACTCAATAATCCAAATGGAAAGGGATTAAATGCTTTCGACAAACTTACAGGTGCTAAACCCGGACACTCGTACACTGTGTAATCACCTTCCTCATTTTCCTCATCACTCTCGGCTTCGGAGACTGATCCGGGGTCACGAGATGCGGCTGATCTGAAGAATTATGGATTGAGGAGTAGAATTTCAGGATTTATGGTTTATATATATTTTTTTAAATGTTTTTTTTTTTTTTTAAATAATAATAAGAGGCCATTTATTTATTTATTCGGTTACCTAGGCAATAAGTAGCTTAACATTCTTTGGAGAAAATTTAATCCTTGATGCAGAATCACTTATTCTCAAGATAAACGAATAATACGAAGAAATTACAGAAAAAAAAAAAACAACAACTTAGATTTCATGAATTCATACAAATACTTACTTTTCCATGGCAATTATTTGCTGTTTTTGATGCTGAAAATGATACATTTGGGCTGAATGGGCCAACCGTTGATCGCCCGACGGTGAGACATCTTTGTTGGGACCTGTCACCCCATAAGCTGGGTACTCGATATCCGCAGCTGCTTTGACCCCGCGTTGGAGTCTGTACGGATTAAAATTTTTTCATCAATCAAGATTTAAAAAATTGTCATAAGCCGCTACTCATGCAAATGATGTGTGAATCACCAATGGAATAATCAAATTGATAATGAAGCAAGAATGAAAAAATGTTTCTCCATTTAATTTTAACATCACTAGATGGTGAAATTGTTTTTTTTCGTTCATTTTTTTCTCAATTAATGAAAAATGAAATATGAAAATTAATAATTATCTCACCTGCACCAAGTCAAGCTAATGAGAACAAGTGTAAACATTGCAGCAGCACTACACCCGGCAACAATAGCTAAAAATAAATTGTTGTGTCAATGTCATTACACACTCAATGACTCAATTTTACATTGAGATGAATTTTTTCGTCAGCTTTTTTTTTGTCAGCTTTCTAAAAAGGGGGCTTTCTAAAATTTGACAAATTATAGTTGAATATTCTTGGCATTTTCAATATTACTATATAAGAAAAACGTGAAAGAGTTGCATGCATGGTAAAATTTTAATGGGGATGAGCCATTTTGCAGGTTACAACATTCTCTTACACTTTGAGATTCAACAATATTAAGTGAAAACTATAACTTGTCAAAGCCCTTAAATCCACCTCCATAAATAATGGACTTTTAACTCACCAATGAAATACACATCGTTGTTGACCTTGTTTCTAGTGAATGTGATAATTGGCTCCTTCTCAGCCCGCCTCTGCGGTTCAGGCATGATTTCCACGAGCCTATCATTTCTCTCCCCAACTTGTTTATCACCACTTGAAATAGATTTATAAACCACCAAGGCAGGTTTTGAATCGATTGGCATATCTTCAATCTTCATCACTCTATTTTCAATAGGCTCCTTTATCATCTCCCCCATAGCCACAACAATCTTAGGGTGTTCTTCCCTCCTCGTTACATGCTCCATCTTCTCCCAATATCGAGGATCATTTGGCTTGGTTGCGAATGTGTTTTCCAGTTCTTCACTTTTCGGCTCACCAAAATGATACGTAAAATCCGGTACTTGGTCATCCAGAGGCGGCACCTCCTTATCTAGAGCATTGTCATGCCTCTGACCATTAAACGCATATAATTTATTATGTAGTTTTTCCAACGAGTTATCGATCCTATCTATTTCCGTCTCATAATTGTCATTTTTATTGGGAGATGTCAATTTTAATGGATATCTCGGTGAGTTATCGAAAAAAATGTTGTCATTGATTCTGTGATCTGGATAGGGTATTTTGACCTTGGGATACTGGTAGATTCCCGAAGGTTCTAAATTGACATTTATGTAGGGGTGACGATTGAGTGACCTCGGGTATGCGATGCTATTGTAGTCGGAATGTGGATTTATGTTATTTTCTTGATTTTTCTCCACAAGTTCCATGATACTGGGATTATCCACAAGGGCCTCCAGGATCTCTCGCTCACGAGCTCGGTAGGTGTCATCTTTGTATGCCTGTAAATGACGGTACGATGACGGTGCCTGGTCGCGGCGTAGGAGACGGAGGCGCGATTGGGTGACAAGAAAACGCTCCAACTCCTTCAGCCTCACGTCTGTCTCTGATGGTTCTGAGTCAACATCTGCGGCAAGTTATAAGTGAGAAATGAGCGTGTTTACCACTTTATCATTGTACCAATTGTTCAACAATTGAACAACTCCAAATAACCCTCGACCTTGGAATATTTCAATGAAAACTAACGTGACAACCCATTAACTCTCATTGCCAGATTCAGTTCTCTTGTCTTGTCTTGTGATTATTAAAGAATGAATAACAGTCCATTAATTTGGCCATCAGAATTGCATATCATGATTGAATTATATATGGTGGAATAAATATGTTACAGCGGCAATATTTATGGCATGAGTTTTTGCCCACAATATATATATGCTATTTCTCAATGTCATTGAGTCCTGCACCCACTTTATTGATTCAGTGACACTGTCCAAAATGATCCTGATGCTCATATGATATCCAAGTGCGCCGCAACAAGCAATAATTAAAAATCAATCAAACAAACAAACAAACAAACAAACAAACAATTTACCATTGAACAGTGTCGTTAACCCTCGGATAGGTGGTATCATCCTCACTTCAGTGAGCCGATATGACACTCCCAATGACAATTCCCAAACTTACCCTGATAATATTCAAGTTCACCGGTGGTAATGCTGATTACAAGACACAAATTAATGACCAGAAGCCGAAATGTCGGAGGATCGAGTTTCATCCTCGCAAAAACCAACTCAAGAGGCCCAAATGTATCTACAGCTGGTTGAATTCACGGGCTTTATCACCAATACGTAAGCGCGTCATTCATGGTGGAGGGTGTTCGGGAGGGCCTGCGCGTTCACTAGTTTCTTTAACGAAATTGCTAAATCAATACGGCAAAATGCCCTGAGCACGACACACACCTCACACACGTTTTTACTATTATTATTATTATTATTATTATTATTATTATTGTTTTTTTTTTTCTTTACTGGTTCTCCACACTTTCGTACAATATCCACGAAACATGCCGCACAGTTTCGCGTTACGTGGGACATGCAAAAGGGCCTCTATGATCCTATTGGGAGATTTTTAATTGTTTTCAAACTGGATCATGAAAATTTAAATACTGGAGACGTATGGTATGCATCACAACATGTAGAACTGACAAGAGCTGAGGGGTTTTAGCGTTTTCGCTATTGGAAAACACTTGCCAGTGATTAATTTACTGAGGCCAACGGAACTTGAGTATGATAAGAAGCGATAGGAGGCGATTGTTAGTTTTATGGCAATAGGATAATGGCAATGGTATCGTAAATGCTTCCTTTTTCTTTGTATTGGTGTTTTTTTAAAAACCAATTTAAGGGAAATTTCTTCAAAAAGGTGACATTTTTTGGGCTTTCTGGGGATATGGGGTTCAGCTGAGAAACCATTTTTTCAATCCTTTTTGTGGATATAAGTCGACTTTCGGCAAAATCGAATTTTTTCGCATAATGAACGTTGATTCACTTGATGGCTTGCCTGATGAGACAATCTGTGAGGTTGGCTAGGGCCCAGGCTGATTTGACTCTGACTCCTAGGTTCTGGTCGGCGAGGGATGCGTGGATTCGGAACTTCAGGGTCTGGTGGAGCCACTTCTTCAGAGTCGCGAGGGTCCACTAAGCGCGGGGGGGGGGGCGCACCCAGGGAATAAGCAGGTGAGTGAGGAAAGTGCAGTAGTTGGAACCTACGTAGGTCTCCTGAGCCTGAGAAAGAAAAAATCGGTCGAGATTAGGACAGGTGGCTAGGTAAAACAAACTATAGCAATCAATATTAATATCTGATGACTTAGCGAAACCATTTAAATGAATGACAACTCATTTTCAAGCCTATAAAAATTATACGCATATATATTTATAAATCCTAGACGTATATGTATATATTTATAAGAGTACTATATTCAAAAAATATCAACTGCGCAACTCCTCCGCGCACATTCATCATGGCGGCGAGTCACTGGCAGAGGATGGAGTGTTTGGCGTTTGTCTGCGGATTTTCGGTGAGAAAGGGGATTAAACCGGGAAAATACTTATTAATCGTGCAATAATCAGTTAATATTCAGTGCCGGGAGTGATTTTATCAAGAAATCAGACTTTATTAGTGCATATTATTAAGCCCAGACCTGTAAATAAAAAGTGCAATGGTAAATTTCGCCATTGCGCATGATTGCGCAACTCCTCCGCGTACATTCATCATGGCGGCTGGCCACTGGCAGAGTATGGAGGTTTTGGCGTTTGTCCGCGGATTTTCGGTGAGAAAGGGGATTAAACCGGGGAAATAATTATTAATAATACAATAATCAGCTAACATTCATGGCAAGAAAGGATTTTATCACAAAAACTGAGACTTTATTATTGCATTATTACAGAATCGATACGTATAAAGAGTGCAGATGCCAAAAACATGGCTAGTGCGCAACTTCTCTGCGCACATTCATCATGGCGGCCGGCCTTTGGTACTGCACGAATAGAGAAGGATCAACGTGAAAAGTGGAATTGTTGGAGTTGGATTGGAATATATGCCAAGCTGACGCCGGGTGTTTCAACGACCGGTGAGTCCCCAAAATATCAATTTTTTATTCTTTGATTGTTGATTTCATTGGTGGATNGGATTTTATCACAAAAACTGAGACTTTATTATTGCATTATTACAGAATCGATACGTATAAAGAGTGCAGATGCCAAAAACATGGCTAGTGCGCAACTTCTC